TCAGTCTAGGGAATACTTATCGTTTAAGGCTCCCCGAAAATAACTAGTTGATGGAAATTGCCATAAGTGATATTACCAAACTGGATTATTGATTGATCCCAGCAAAGAATGTGAACTAAATGTTAGTAAATAAGAGAACTTTGTACTAACGAACAGAAATGTTTTGAATTTTCAATTGGTAAGATAAATAGAGACATTGAGCTTTTCTTTGTTTCAACCCGGCAGGAAACCGTAATAATGGCTGTGTTTTAACGGGACTTAGCGTAAACCCGCTAGCGCTGAAAGCGCCAGGAAGCGCTAACTGTAGCCGTTTGAACGACCTATTTATATTTCAAGATTTTCTCTAAACTCTAAACATAACCTAACAAAACGCTAATAAGAATTTTATGTTTAATGACATCGGTATTTCCATAATTTTGAATATTCATGTCGAAAATCCGAAAATAAAGCAGCTCCCACCAACATCAACCAAAAACCAGAAGAAAAAATATGTAGGTACCTAATGTTAGGTTAGGGTTTAAGATAGATTCTTTGAATATCAAACTACAGGAAAGAGCGTTTTCTATCTGTCACTATAGACAACGCAGGGACGGAAACGGCCATATTGAGCCTCCAAGTATGGACTCATCATTTGTTTTGGTGGTTCGCTGTGTCCTCATTCAAGTAGATGTTTAATGGATTTTAGCAGTTTTAAGTGTGAAAAATCATGTGCGTGAGTGAGGAGGGCTACACACAATGATAGAATGGGAACGGATTTCAGACGTGCTTTTATCTGGAATGTGACGTCTCAGTACTCAAGTACATGATAGTGCAGTTCACAAGCGTGTCCACACGCCATTCCACGTCACGGTTTTGAGGCAAGTACGGAGACATAAACGCCGCATAGCAAACTATCACGTTGAAAATTAGTACATGACAACATGCACTTCCAAACGACACGATAAATGACACTTTTTACCCATACACATACGGTTTTTCCTATCCAACTGATACGCCGCGCGTAATCACGTGGTAAATCATTTGAATACTTTGTCAAGTGTATGGAACATGACGCCTTTTTGCCACGCCGTTCTTTCGCGCGTGCAAACCGCTACATCGCAACACGCCACGATAAACCGCGCGAAATAACGTGTGTGTATGCCGGCCTATTTAGCGGAAAGCGCTTAACACCCGCTAATAAATCCCGTTAAACGTTAAACACAGCCATTATCGTCAGAATTCTGCGCAAAACCTAAAATGTTTGCATAGAAACCGAAATTCGTATACAGAGTGGTTCCGAAACCGTTCTGGGACGTTTTTTTGACGGGTTGGAACAAACCTATTAAATTAGATAATGGTCAAAATCCATACTCGCGTATGCGAATCACATTTAAACTAGGGGCGCCAAAGTCAGATCTCGCTCCATACTAAAAGTAGCCTCGGGCCGGCACTGAAGACGCCCAAATGTATGCAACAATGTTTGACGTTTGACGTTCACACAGAGCAAGCGGTCGTAGTTTAGAATATACATTTATCATGAAAAATGTTATTTAATTTTGATTAGCATGATAGGCAATGAGGAAGTAGATGCAAAGGAGATCTAAAAAACCTTTGTTTGAGAATATTAAATAATGTACTAAATCCAAGTATGCATAAAGCAAAAGCCCTCGAAAACGTCAAGGCGAGAAACGACGGAAACGACACGCTGCCTACGTCATCACGGTTTTTTTGGCGTGGTGGGGGGCTTGATATTTGATCTTATACAGGCCTTATTAGGATAAGCTATCCTGTAGTAGTACTTAATGTGTAAGTATTATCCTTGATGCGAATGGTCAAAGGCGGCGCGAGAATCAGTGCCATTTTTACTTACCAGAAATGTTTTTTATTAAAAAATTTGCCTTTTTGTTTACCTATGAAAAATGTAATGGGGAGGAAATAGTGTATGCCCTATGTTAAAATTGTCATGCCCTACCACAAATTTGACTCTAGCTACGGCCCTGGGTATGTTTGAATTGTTGTAGATCTTCTTTCCCAAGATTCATTCTTTTTTTGTGTGATCTTTCTCCTATTTCTCCTGACTTTTGTTTGAATTTCTAATATTGTCAGATTAGCAGGAAATAGGCACGTGTCGGGTTATTATTCCATTGGGTTATCCTTCAGTTTTGATTTTTTGATTAACTAGTCCACGGAACCACTCTATCTACTTTCACTATCTCCCGGAATGAAAATACGTTCAATATCTAGAATTTTCAAAATCAAATGAAAATGGGGCCTCCCAGTTGTCCAGTGAGGATATTTTTGTATTGTTTAAATTGCCTTCCTTTGCTGCGTTGGCTAGTTGGGAAGGGAATACATAATTTGTTTAGGAAGAGGAGAGATTGGCATGCGGATGACAGCGAAATTTGTTTCCTCATGAGTATTCTTCCTAAACAGCGCTGCTTTTAAACAATCTAAGTTCTAAACATCTCAGATGTCTTCTGTAGGTTGTCTAAATTGCATTTAGCCATTCCACTATAGATTTCGACACCCGCCTCAATTTGCTGCTGCCGCCAGTGTTCCGAGCAAAATCGGTAGCGCAAAAATAATCATACGACATTACACTCTCGTTTTGGGCACCGTCCTGACATTCTACTACGTGGTTTAGCACTTCTGTATAGTTGCACTTATGCATAAATGAGTATGAACCTTATGAACATTCCACTTATGATCTGAGCATTGCTCACACATTCCACTATGCGTTTCGCGTTATATTAAATTATTTAAATCAGCCAATCGCCTTAGAGCCGGTGCCGAATCGTATAGTGGAATGTCCAGGTTTAGCATCCTTAGAAAAGTGTTGGTATGACGATAGCATTGTTGACCGTGAGCTTATTGTGGTCACTTTTTTTTTGTGGTCACTTTTGTCGTCATGTTCAAACACCCTTTCCACGGGACGTCCATACATACGTATTCTATATTTTTTAGAGGTGCTTCATTGATAATGACTACATCTGGATCGGGTGCATTCGTATTTGGGGTAGGCTGGTATGAATTTTTGTCTTTTCTGTGTTGAGTTCTATTTGCCTTTCAGATATTATTGACGTAGCATTATCCATGAACCCTCATATAATAATGACAGTACCTATATATCAAATTCCAGACAGTTTTAAGTGTGTTTCACATAATTTCGTAAGTGTTGCAGTATTAAAATTTTCTGGCCTATTTGACCAATCAAATTTGACACTTGGGGTAGGTATAGTTTAAATATAGATGTAAAGCCATTTCTTACAAGCAGCAATCAATATTTTTGTTGGACCAAACCTGAAAAAAAAGTTACTGCGAAATATTTCATATACCTAAATTAAATAATTTAACGAAGTAACCTAGGTAGGTAGTAGGTACCCATTTTTTTTTTTAATAAATTTGGAAAAATATTTTGGAATTGAATCTACTCAGATATTTTACACATTCTGGCAACCCGGCTTTCTGTTTTATAACTCTGAAATTTGAAAAATACTTTGTCATCAAATGTCATTATTATACGAGGGTCAACCTGTCAAATTTCCATGGATAATGCTACGCCAATAATATCTGAAAAGCATATAGACGCATAGACGCATCCTTTTGTATGCTTGCTAAAATTCACTTATGATCAGGTCATTCCGGTATTTGCCAGATTCCGGTTGTGATTTTAAAGGTTTTTTTGGGTCAGTTATTGGCATAGATTTATTGCTCTATTTCTAGTTCCCAGAGTTCTTGGTCCAGATATGCAGGTACAATAATACCACAGCCTAAAATTGACTCATTACGAAGGCGAGAAAATACCCGAATTCGTAGAAACTCAGTTTCATTTACTCAATTGTCTTGCTCAAAAGAGTTTATGGTAGGAATGGGAATCATGGGTGCATCATGGCGTCTTGTACGGATCAAGAGATACTTGGTAAATTCCAACAGTTAAGTTTCGCAGATCGTTTAAAATAAGACGAGAAAAATTACGTAAATGGTTCGGATTTAATTTAACTGAACTCATCTACCGTATCTGGCTCTTAAACTTTCTGCTTCTAATCTCTAGTCTTCATTATATCTATTTAGAATAGCTCCAGCATTTCTGTAGTGTAGAGTAAAGATAGCGGAGATGAACAAGACGTGCCATTAAGATAGTATTAGTAATTCATAAAAAACTGAAATATCCATTTCGTGCTTCAACTATATCCACCTAGTTTTTGCCTCTATGGTTTCTGCTACTGAACGTGATTCTTTTATACTATCTTAGTTCAAATTGTTCCCGATTTAGAGGTATTGGTATTTTGTAGACAAATGCCTACGCCTTGACCAGCCTCTCGATATCCTCGGTCTTCTATAAAAATGTCGCCCTTTTGAATCCACTGCTTCATAACATCTAGGTTTCTTTTTCTTTCAAATTCGTGTTGTAACATTGCTACATCATTGTTACGTTAGTCAGAGAAATACGGCCCTTGGTTCGTATGTGAAGTATATAGGTATACCTATATCCGTTGGGAGTTATAATCAATTTAGGTTTTATCAAATGACGGCCCTATACCTACAAGAAAGCACAGAGCGCGGAAGTTACTGTTTTTATTTATCTACGAATACGTGCCGTCAATAGGTCTGTTTTCGCAAAAGTCTCTGACAGTTTGCAACCCATAAGTATATGTTTTCTATGCCGTCGTTCCAGGATAAATTGCTAACTTATCTGGGCGATTATTATTTCTGACAATTTGCGAACTGTTCATGAATGTCATTTCTACATTTTTATAAAGTGAAAAGAAATCGAAGTGTGTTGCATCTAATATCTCTTAAACTCAACATAATTTAAAAATAGCTCGTTGGATTTTTTTGTGCCGATGCTAATTTTTGTTTAGAATGTCCAGAAGCACAATATCCAACTTTCAGACAATTTCAGCGAAAGCCATTTTCCATGAAATTAGTGCAGGGTCCTTTGTATTAGAAATTAGAAAATGTGTTCAAAATGTGGCTGTTATTATTAAAATATCCTGTCCTAAATCCACTTTATTTTGCAGAAGAAGAAGAAAAACCAGCCGATCTCGACGCTCCGATCGTTTTCAAAAAACCAGTCAAAAAGACAACATCGGACTCATCCGGAACATCTTCGGACACTCAAAAAGACAAGGAGGAAACCAAAACTTCTAAACGAAGCTTAGATTCAACCGACAAAGACAAGAAATCAAAGAAAAAACTCAAAAATAATAAAAGTTTGCTGTCGTTTGACGAAGAAGAAGAAGAAGAAGATTAGAAAGTTTGGTAAGACAAATGTCAAAAATATGTATTTACTTATCTTATAGCTATTTTCTGAATTATTCAAATATAATGTTCAAGACATTTGCGGAAAAGTTTTTATCTCAAAACTAGAGGATACTAATGTGATATTAAAATATCTCAAACTTCTGTAGTTACATAATAGTGTCTTATTGTTATTATCTCAAAAATATCTTATAAATCATTATCAATTTTAAATTTTAATAAAACAGTAGGTAATACAAATAATAAGTCTCATCACTCTTTCAGTATCGATATCGAAATTGAAAAACTAAGATAGAGAGATATTACGCAAATTTCGTGTGACTTATCTTGAAAATTGTCAAAAACTTTCAAACGAAAATTGAATTTTGGCAAAAACTATAAGATATCTTAAAAAATTAAGATACAATTAATTTTTTTTTTAAATACATTGTACCCAAGCAGCACTCTCATGTTGGGCCAATATTGGGACAATAACTACGATTTATTGGCCCAAGTCAGATTCTCTATGTTGGCTCAATAAAAGATGTGGACATTCTGCAATATTTGTCCAAGAACGTATGTCAATATATACCCAAAAACAAATACCAACGTTGGTACAATAACGTAACCAAATGTTGGCCCAAAAAGAAATAATCAATATCATATCAAAAACTTTCTGCAATTGAAATTACCAATATTGGCCCGAAGACGTATGTAAATCTTGGCTTTATATTAAGGTCAGTTGGGGTAAATGTGTTATAGAATTCGCATAGTGACACTTTAGTGGCCGATACTTTGAAAACCAAAAACATCAAAAATTTTAAAAAAAAAATTACATAGTGTATCGTGATGTTATTCAACACTTCTGAGTATTTTTTTTCTGATAGGGTCCTTTTCTGATTTTCCCGCAATTTTTTTTTAAAACTATGTTGTTATATCACACTTACCCCTCCTACTGGGGCAAATGTGATAATGGTCTCTGCTCTCTCATAGGCAGTTTATATACTTTTGGGATGGGGTTATTGTGAAAGAGCGGATTTTTTTACATAAAATAGATTATTTGTGCGGCTCCTATAGGGGCCTCAACTTCAGGGTTTTGAAATAATACGCCAAGAAGTGAAAAAACGAAAATAAAACTTTTATTATTGTTTACGAGGAACAGGTAAAAAACTTAATAGGAATTCTCTTACATTAAGTATAAACGTTTTTAGGCATTTCAACTTATTTCTAACTTAAATATGGTTACTTTTTTAGCTTTTATTTAATGTTGAACCCTGTAAAGGTTATATTAAATGAAATTATGCCCCTTCGATCAATTACAGGTTCAGGAAGCACTTTAATAATGTTTTCTTCCTCAACCGTATCGATGTCATCTACTAGAGGTGATATAAACTTAGTTCCTTTTGGTCGCGAAAACTTAATTACCCAGTCCCTCCCATCCTTTTCGGTTATTTGGCCGACAAAGTGTTTCTTGGTTTTTTTTGTGGCGTACTCAACAAGTACCCATTTGTCAACCGCTGGAACTTGCTCTATCACATCCGTAGGTTCTGGAGAGGGATTTCGTAAAGAATCTAAATATTCATTATCGCTGTCGGAGTCCTGGACCGAGAAGTCTTCTGGGTCGTCATCGTCCGAGGAACTATCAGCCTTTTCCTTTTTCTTATTTGAACGTTTCACAGGAGGGGACTTGAAAAGAAGAATTTCGTTGGTTATTATTTCAGCCCCAGCGGCAACTTTTTTCCTTGGAAGCTTCTCATTAGGTGTTTTTTGCTTAACAGTGGAGAGCAGAAGCGACTCAAATGAGAGCGGGTTATCAGAGGGCATAGCTGCAGTCGAAGCAACGGGGTCTTTGTACGGGTTGTCCGCCGCAACATGCACTGGAATATTGGAACTGTCCGCCGTTATATGCTCTGGAGGATCCGCACGTCGATTATGGAGATCCCATCTTTTAAGAGCTTCTGGGCAGAACTTCTCTCTAGGAATAACATTTCGATTGAAAGGTACTATTCCGCCTTTTTTGAATCCATTTTGAATTATGGTGCCTTCTAGCGATTGCCATGTTTCGCCTAGATATTGCGCAAATAATTTCTTTGGAAGTTTTTGCCCCACATGCTGTCTTTGCCATCTCACCAACTTCTCGTCCCATCTTGACTTTAAAGCTTTAAAAACCGCCAGATCGAGAGGCTGAAGAAGATGGCTGCTATGAGGGGGCAATTTTAAAATTGTCACACGTTCTGCCAAGGCTGCCTCAATGATCTCGGGACTTAGGTGTGTGCTGTGGCCATCATAAATAACTAACACCGGTCTCTCGTCTCCAAAACAGGGTATTAAAGTTTTCTTGAAAAAATTCAAAAATATCGTTGATTCCATCCAGCCTTTTTTGCTAGCAGCGTAGACTGTTCCAGGAAATCCTGTTCCTTGAGGGGCCATCCACTGATCCCACACATTAAGACCTTTGAAGATGATTAACGGTGGTGCTTTATTACCAGCTGCACTTGCGCACATTAAGACACTGGTGTTCTCCCGGCCAGGAGAGCTAACGGTTCGAGAACAAGCAACTCCTTTTAACCCCACGACTTTACATTTGGACGGATCAATGGAGAAAGAACTTTCATCCAAGTTCCACACTTGATTTGGTTTGTTGCCCAAGTCCAGGTCTTTGAGTATTGTTTCTAGCAAATCAAAATATTTATATATGATGAAAGGATCTGTTGCTTTCTTGCGAGCAAACTCGACTGCTTGTGGAATCTTTAAACTTAACTTGTGACGTCTCTTGAAATTTATGAACCAATCTGGTCCAGGAACATTGTTTTTGAAGGGGGTTTGGATGTTGTTTTTGGTCACATATTCAGCGACCAGTTCTAGGACCTCCTTCCGAGTTAACCCAAATCCCCATTTTTCGAGGGTTGTAAGGCCAAGGACAAGCTTTTCTTCTTCTGCAAGTGAAAATGCACATATTCTACCCTTGGTGGAGCTTTTCACTCCGCGTAAACCCTTTTTGTGGCTATAGAGGGTACTATAGGGGATGTTATACACTACGGAAGCGCGGTACATAGTCATTCGATTGGCTCGAACCTCCTGTAATGCCCGTTGCAAGATTTCATCATCATATTTCTGGTTGGGCTGAGTTTTCCGTTTGTAGACACGCACCATTTTTCCTGAAATCAAAATGGGGCAAGTGTGATATACAGATGACTGTGGGGTAAATGTAGTATAGCACATTAGCCCCACAATTCAAATTGAGGGGGGCAAGTGTACCATAGGGTTGTTAAAAAAAAACATAAACACATATCGAAAATGTAAAATACTACAGTCAAAATATATACTCAATCCACCCTAAAACCAAAAATTCAGTTGCTTACCTTTATTTTTACTTGCCCTCTCCACAGCACGAATAATTGAATGATGCACTCGACATGTAACCGAAAATAACAGCTGTTTGGAAAATAACGGAAAATTTTTGACAACTGACAGGAACGATTCGCCAACTTTGGGAGTTCGTTCGAAAACATATTATCTGTAATAAAAACCACTCTAACGTCTAAAATTTTCGCTTGTGTTAGAATAAATGCCAATTATTGCATTTGCCCCGTTATCACATTTACCCCAACTGACCTTATATTTAATTAAGGTAACGGACCAATTATAAGGACCGACTAAGAAGTGTTTTCTCTCTGCCGGACCATCCGTGGACCCGTTTCGCTGTATCACAACTCATCAGCACGGTTAAGTCCCGCCAGGGTCCCGCAGAAAGAAAACAACCAATTTTTGGCTTCATCCCGGAACCAGGTTTAAGACAGGTTAAGTGAAGATAAAGTCTCTATCTATTTTTTGGTCGGCACACCAAGTGCGCACATTGAATACCCTATATTGGACCAACATTTTTAATTCAGAAAATCTAACCTTGGTAAAAATTAGTATGTAAATATTGGCCCAGCGTTGCCAGACGTACGACAGGTGTGGTATTTGTACGACAGTTTAGGGCATCTTCGTTACAAGAAAATCAATGCGTACGGTAGTACGGTAATCTACCACAGTTTTGAAATTCTCCTTTTTTTCTTATGTGTGTTGGCCAAATTGGGTTTGGGTGGAGTTTGGGTACCTTGCTTGACAACCTTGCATGTGATTTTGATGGGTTATGTGATGTGTCAATTATGTCATACTCCCCTAACTCCCTCTCCATCATTCTGGGCCTGCGACGTCACTATCAGCATCTTATAGCGATGACGTCGCCCGCAGACCTCGATGGAGTGCTTGCGATTTAGGCTGTTCTAGTGAGTTAAATTTTGTCGATTTTAAATCTAGAAAAGGTGATTTTTGGTCTGTTTTAACACAGAAGAAATTAAAAGCGTTTTCTCGCGGGGCGAATGGTTAAATTACGGTTTAAACCAATTTGTAGATGACGTCATTACTTATGAACGCGAGAAAATGGAAGCTTTGAACCACAGTCTTATGTTAACGAAGAATAAGTTATGATTCCGGTTCGAACTTTTCTGAACCAGGTTCAATGTGACGTCACTGGTTCAACGCAAGAATGTATAGGTTCGAAACTAATTGAACCGGATCGAACAAGTTCCATCGCAAGAAAACAGCTTAAGTGTTCTTGATCCTCGAGTATCCCAGAATTTGATGGTGGGGGAGTTAGGAGAGTATAACACAATTGACACATCACATAATCGAGCATCAACGTTACAAAAGAATTTGTTTCAATTTGACTAAGTACCTATTGTTTGCCCCGCGGATCTGAGTCTACGGAAGGAATTCGGACGTAAATGTGCCATGTTGTCACGTTTAATTATTAAAAAGCGAAAATACCAGGCATGAAGTATAGTTCATTTGAAAATCCATTTTTTAATAACAAAATATAGATACCAATAAAACGCTAAATATTTCAACGTGGTTGTTAGATCTATTCTTATTCTAATAACTGATTTCTTCAATTTTGTCCATTGTAAAAAATAAACATTTTCTAAAGATACCATCAGTTTTTGACAATTTGGCAAGCATCCGGCCTGGATGAACCTGATTGGTGGAGTTTTTGGCAGGATGGCCGTTGCCACGGGGAACCATGTCGTTGTCAATGGGCTAACGTCACCTTACGTCTCGCTATTGGCCTGGGCTTCCGTCATTGTATCCTCCCATCTTGGAATATCGATTTATATTGAAATATCCAGTGGCGGGGGTTTGGTCATTTTCGATTTTCGTGTAGGAGTTGCAATACGATAACACTTCCAAAAAATTCCGCACGCAGCTGGGTATTTTATGAATGAAATCAGCCATTTTTTTTTACAACTGCATTCCCCTTACCGTTGCCTCGTAGACACAGAGTCGCTGGGCAGACATTACAAAGTACCTCAATAAATTTAATAAATAGTTTCATTTGATTTCCTGTTACTCCTGTTGCTGTAATTTTTAATGTAAGGTCTATTTTCAAGTTTTCAACATTTTGCGTTCTTAAAAAAAATCATATTTTTTCTAGTAAATGGGTATGTACCTACTAAAAATTTATTATGAGAGGTAATGTGTACCACAAGTATTCGTGGTGCGTACGTCCCTGTACGACAGTTTTTGAGCATTGTGTACCACACTTCCATATCTAGAGTCTGGCAACGCTGTATTGGCCCTTCATTGGGCTTTTCAAAAAGTATCAATATTGTGAAAAAATTGAAAATAAATATTGGGTGTACAAAGTTTTTGGAGTGAATTTAAATATCAATAAAAAATTGAATGCCAATATTGAATTAATAGTACGGGAGCTGGCGACACTTTTCATTGTCCCATTTCATAAAACTTGATTAAGAACTTCAAATTAAAAATATCAGTTTGACAATGTCAAAAAATGGTTTATCTTTTATTTTGTAGTATTGATATCAATGATCAAGAAAATGAACTCCTGCCACCTTGTTAGCGGGACAACGGTTGACTGCGGTATGCCAAACATGTTGAAAAAAAAAGTCCAAATGTTTAAAATCATAAAAGTTGAAACTTTACCAATTTTCTAATAACATTTAAATAAGACATAAAACGACCTCCTGCCACTTTTTCGGTAGACCTATATACTCCTGCCATAATTTTATTTACGTAAAAAAAAGTTATTAATTAATATAAATTATAAAAGTTGAAATTTTTTCTAGCATTTCATTAATAATTACGATAACTGAAAAATGTATCCTGCCAGTCATTTGATGGGACCTGGCTTCGGCAGGAGTTAGTGAAGTAATAGGGTGTTGACATAATTACAGAAACAAATTTGTTTCAACACGTTAGATTCTTTTTTATTTATTAGCGCAAAAATATGTAATATCGAAAAGTTTACAGACACGTATCTTCGTCAATATATTCGTAGACAGTTTCCACAAAAGTGGATAAATCTTTAGTCAGTTCATTGATCACAGCACCGAGCGAACTGAACTAGAACTGAACATCAGCGCATCAGTCATTCATATGGAATCTTAAAATGCCCAAACATCTGCCTCACATCAGGTTTTTATTGTGTATAAAAGACGTCCAGGTAAGACCCTTTTTCAAGGTGCTCATTTGCTCTATGTATGTGATCACTTATAGACCCTGAGATAGGGCCTGTTTAGTGGAGTCATTTTTTTTTGTCTGGCATTTTGAGGGATGAATGTGACTAGTTAGCTGATGAGAATATAAGTGGTTTTAATGCCTGTCTCCTGTTCGAAATGTCCACAGAATGTTTCGCCGGAAAACTCGATTTAGAACTGTGATTACCGTCTGGCGATTTTTCAGCGTTATTTTCACAACAAAACCTTTCATTCTCTCGATTGCCAGACAAAAAGTAAACGCGGAAGGTTCTTTTCTTTTCTCTTGGAAGTTGACACCCATACCGATTTTTTCAGCTATTGAAAAGCATCTGATATTTTTCATGTGTGAATTATTTATCAATGTCAATCTTTTATTTAAAAGCAAGAAAATTTGAGATCATTAAAAAAAAATTCTTCATGTAAATCAATTTTTTTTTTCTGCAAATTTTCGAACGGGAGGCCGGCATTAAAATCACCCATATTCTCATCAGCTTAGTAGCCACATTCAACCCTCAAAATGCCAGACAGAAAAAAATGATTCCACTAAACAGCCCCTATCTCACAGTCTATTAATATCTACCGCATTGAGAACCTTTGGATTTGGAATTTGGAAGCCTAGAAATAGTAGATATACAGTGTGTCCAAGATAAGGATGAGGTAGAATTAGGATCTGGGGAACGGTTGGAGTAACAATGTTGGTTAGATTAGGAAAAGGTTACGCAATTTAACGCTCAATAAAATGCTACTTTGACATTTGAAAAATTCCGAACATTTTCCGAGATATCCGGAAAAAACCCAAAACTTCACAAAATCGATTTTATTTTTTCCTGAGCTTATTTGAGGAGATATTTCAAAATAAATGTCACTTAATCGTGAACACTTTTTCTACTCTACAAGACATTATCAATTTTAAAATTTGACGTTTCGTCTTCAGGCCACTCTACTACTCTCGGCCTCGGCATTTTAAGTCACTCTGCCCAACTAAAAATCAGACACCTCAGTGATTTAAAATAGTTTTGACTCACTCTTCCTTGTACTTTATTTTTCAAATTTCCACACAATGGGATAAAATTTTATATACATCATGTGAGTTAAAATCTTTATTTATTCAAAGAAAATTTCTTCTCATGAATAAGCATTCATTCAACTCACTTGGTGTATAAATAACTATTAAATACGGACCCTTAATTTTTATTTCAGATTTTATATAAGCTTCTGATGTTCCAAAACCAATGACGTAATGCATTTATTCGATTTTTTGATTTTTTTCGAATAGATGCGATACGTCATAGGTTTTGGGATATCAGAAGCTCTTAAAATCTGAAATAAAAAATCAAGGGCCGTATTTAGAAAAAAATGAAGTTGATGATGGTGACCCAAAGACGAAATGTCAGAATTTAAATTTGAAAATGTCATCTTGTAGAGTAGACAAAGTTGTTACCACAGCTTCTTACGATGAAGTGAAATTTATTTTGAAATGTCTCCTCAAATAAGCTCAGGAAAAAATAAAATCGATTTTGCTAAATTCCGGTTTTTTCCGGATATCTTTGAAAGTGTTCGGAATTTTTCAAATGTCAAAATACCATTTTATTGAGCATTAAATTGCGCAACTTTTTTCTAATCTAACCAACATTGTAACTCCAACCGTTCCCTAGATCCTAATGCTATGCCATCCTTATTTTGGACACACTGTATAATGGAAACACATTATACAGCTCAACAATTTTGTTCCTGCCGAAGCCAGGTCCCATCAAATGACTGGCAGGATATATTTTTTAGTAATCCTAATTATTAGTGAAATGTTAAAAAAAAAAAAATTAACTTTTATAATTTATATTAATTGATAAATTTTTTTTACATAAATAATATTATGGCAGGAGTGTATAGGTTTACCAAAAAAGTGGCAGGAGGTCGTTTTATGTTTTATTTAAATGTTATTAAAAAATTGATAAAGTTTCAACTTTTATTATTTTCAACAAATAAACTTTTTTTTTTTGACGTAATTAACATATCGCGGTCAATCAGTGTCCCGCTGGTACCCCTGCAGGAATCGATTTTAGTTTTCTATGGCTCCGAGATGATCCAAAAAAAGTAAAACTAATCGTTATGAAATCACACAAAATTTAGTGTCGCCAGCTCCCGTACTATAATATTATATTACAATATTGTTTCGATAATATAAAATGTAATAGGTATTTGGCCAATATTTCATAAATCAATATTGTAGTGAGAAGTCTTGGGCCAATATTCAAATTACTGAAAAGTTAATTAATCTATGAAAACAATATTGGTACAAGATTATTTTTAAATATTGTTTCCGCATAGTTAAAACTAACGTTGCCCCAATATTGGTTCTATGTTGATTTAGCAACAAAAATGAATAAATATTGGCCCAACTGAAAAACCATGTTTACTCCATATTATGTGCTATTTGGGTAGACAAATAAATAATAATAAGTTTTACTCTTTCACTATCGATATAAAAATTTGAAAACCGAGATAAAGATATTACGCAAATTGCGTATGTCTTATCTTAAAAACTGTCAAAATTGTTCAAACGAATATCAAATTTTGACATAAACTATATTGAGATACAAATAATTTTTATATTTTACAAACTACAATTATTATTCAATTAGTGACATTTCTGTCAAATCAAGCGACGTTTCGGTTAACTTTCCAACCGCCGTCAGGTCAAAAATAATTTAAATAAAATTAATCTAAATTGCGTCAAAGATAGATAAATGTGATTTTGCCAATCACCGCAAAAACAACTGTATGACGTATGACGTCATTGTTTAATAATTTTCAAAAAATTCCCTAACAAAAATCAAACAAGTTTATGGGGAATTTGGTTTTTTTTGGGGTAAAAAAAAAAAAGTTGAATGAGCTATTGGAAAGTGGCACATTACAGACGTGGGCAAAAAATTTATTAGAAACGGCGTGAGCAAGCATGAACAAAATGAGAGGTTCGGGACGAATCCATTTCGGTACGCTCAGCGCGGGGACGGTCGGTAGTTTGAAATTTGAGCGCGGTTTTACTTCTTTGGCCTATCGATTTTGTTACTATATAGAAAAAAAAAATATTCCCGCCAAAAAAAACTCTTCTTTTTTTTTTTTTTTGTTGAATGTTTTTCAAATTTTACACCCTATAGAAATTAAAAAAAAAAAAAGAAGAATAGGCGCTTTCAAAAAACTACCAATAGAAAAAGAGTCTAATCTAAGTTGGCCTTTTTTTTTAAATGTTTTCCTTCTAATGGGTAATAATATGGGTTGGGCTGACGTAGAGTCAAAACCACTCTGGCGGCAACCACGGCCTAGGTGGCTACGTCATTACTCGGTCACGTGACGTACCGTTAGACGCCATATTGGCAAAAGTGAGTTAGTGTGCGTCTGCTGCCAATGGATTATTATTTACCCGAAATCGCCCAAATACCAAAAAAATACTGGGAAAATTAATTTAAAAACCGAATCCATTGTATTAAACGTGTCGTTTTCTTTAGCACGTGAATACGATTTTGAAAATCGCGGGCAAAAAGTGTTCGGCCGAATAGGAAAATCGTCGGGTATTTACGATTTTAATTTTGGTTGGCCAGACAAATGAAACATCGGCGTGCCGTCAACGTGTGGCGGGAATTGGAATAAAATTCGAAAAATTGGTGAGTTTTTCTTAAAGTTTTATATGGGATTTTCATTGTGGAGGAAAAATTGGGGCTCGAGAAGGGGCCCCCTAGCGAGCACCGTCGGCGTAACAGGGTCGGGGTTCCGCAGTGGCGTCGCGCGACGATTTTTCCTCGTTATCGTGCATTTCTCCCAGCCGATGGTTGAGGAACCAGTGACGGCGGCGAGACGTTTTCTCCTGCCAGTCTCTGGCCCCCCCAAACCAATAAAGAATCATGTTCATTTAAAGCCCGATATTTACTAGAGGAAATTTTGAGGTTATTTTTTTTGTTTATGTTTTCGGTTTTTGAATTATTTCCATTATGGCCCTTATCCACTAGGTACTGGATATTTACCAATTTCTATTTAATTAGATATTGAAATTACTAATGATTTTCTTTTGATATTTCAGCAGTTTGTTTACATTTGATATTGTTTTCATTAATAAGAAATACAAGTTTCATAGCACTTTTGTTGTTTTGTTGTAAATCCTGATTTATTAAAGTAACTATTCAAATATTTACCAAGAGGAAGTCAAGACTGACGTCATCATTAAAAGTATTTCTTATGACTGGCATGAGATAATTTTCAAAAATACTGCCAAAATGTATCAATTATCGGTGTTGAAAAACCATTGAAGCTGCATTGAAGTTATTTGTAGAAACTGTATTTGTAGAGAATTTAAATAGTCTTCCTTTGGGCCTAATTATATTGAGATCAGATTGAAATTAACAAAGTTGTGAGGCAAAACACGTGTCAATGTTATTTTAGAAAAAATAAAAATTTGAAAACTTTGAATCATCATAGCTGTGAACCTATACATAGAAATTATTCACTAGAAATTTATAGAGAATTTAATTTACCTTATTTTAAGCCCACGTACATTAGGATTGGATTGAAATTATCAAAGTTGTGAGGCAAAATGTATGTTGGTGTCATTTTGGAAAAAATCAAATTTTCAAAATACTGCATTGAGCCAGGTTTTATTTTTTTTTGAGAAAAATATTTAAGCGATTAAATTAATGTTTTGTAAACAGGTAGAGGAAATATTGATATTTAGGAAAAAAAATTACAATTTGCTTCTGCTTTCTCACTTTTATAAAAATTTAAGTTAAAAGCCTTTGTTGAAGCTGCAAAACTTTTGAAGTTACATTGAAATCATTTGCTGGAGATTTGTAGAAAATTCAATTAGCTTCAAATAAAGCCTAATTACGTTAAGATCTGATTAAAATTAACAAAGTTGTGGGGCAAAATATGTATTAGTGTCATTTTGGAAAAAATTAAATTTCCAAAATAGTGCATTGAGACAGGTTTTATTTTTTTTTTTGAGGAAAACATCTGATGGATAAGATTATTATTTTACAAACAAAAAAAATAAATAAATACAGTATGTTTCTGCTTTCTGAGTTTTAAAAACATCCAAGTTGTAAGGTTTGGACATTTGGGAACTCATTCCATCACTATATCTGTCACCCCTGCTATGTCATACCACATATTACTGGTAACTACCTGAAATCCTTCTTAATTTTTTTTTTTAGAAATTATAGATAATATTGACAAAAATAAAAAGCAATAAACTATTATAAAAATAACAAAAACATCTTTTATTTTTTATTTTTTTCAGAAGAAACTTCTTCCAGAAAATGAGTTTATTTCTCTTATATCTAACATCCAACAATTGTACATAAGTTATCTAACTAGTTTTTAAATTATTCTATATTTTTTTCTATAAGCACCTAGATGTGAAACATCTGTATGTGCAGCATCGCTAAGCAGTGTTTTTATTTGTATTTGTAGTTTTTATAATTTAAGTGTACATTAGGAATTAAGAGCAAGAGAGAGAAAAAAAAAGAAAAATAACAAAGTAACAGTTCACATATTGGTTGGTTTTACAATTTATCAGTCCCACACAAACATGCAGACAACAAAGTCTGCCCTACAAACACCACGGAACACTTAGCTAAAAAACCTTTCAAATTGATGAAGACTCTCATAAATAACATTTTTACTTAAAATTTTAAAACTTCTTATTGAAGAGCAATTTCTTACTTCCTGTGGCAATAGGTTGTACAGTTTAGGGCCAAAATAATTTATGTATCTTAGATTAAGATTATTAGTACTTATTGGTAGTTTAATTTGCCTGTCGCACCTCGATCTTGTTTCATAAGTATGATCAGCTAACATTTTCATGTTAGGTCGAGTGTGTATATAGGAGCAAACTTTGAGAATATATATTGATCGAATGTTAAAAATGTCTCTGTCAAAAAGCAAATGTGTAGGATACAATCTATTTTTTTTGAGAATAATTTTTATTATATATTTTTGTATTATGTTCAATTTGTACAGGCTGTTATTATAAAGTCCACCCCACACCAATATTCCATATCCTATTACTGATTCTACAAATGCTTTATAAACTATTATAAGCGTTCTTTTATTTAAAAATTCTCTCAATAAATAAAACTTATGAATGAGTTTGCGAATTCTATTGGAAACATAATCAATATGTGGTTGCCATTTAAGAAATTTATCAATAACAATTCCGAGGTATTTCATTGATGGAGTTTCTTTAATACAATGGTTATCTACGACGATGGAATCATATTGTGGTCTGTTTGCACCAGAAAGTGAAAATGCTATGTAGTTCGTTTTTGCTAAGTTTAATGTTAGCTTATAAGATTGAAGCCAGTTCTTAATTTTCGCCAAACTATTCACGGTCTTATTCCTTACACTATCCCAGGTATCTCCTGAGACAACCAGAGCCGTATCATCGGCATAAGATACAGTTACGCCCTCGACCTGCAACCTCAATAATGAGTTGATGTATGCTATGAAAAGTACTGGTCCCAAGACTGTTCCTTGTGGAATGCCAATTTTTATTTTCTGTTTATTACTCAAGGTGTTATTTAACTTGACCATTTGAAGTCGCTCTGACAAATAGCTTTTAAACAACTGTGAAGCTACTCCTCTTATTCCATATCTTTCAAGCACATTGATAAGCTCATCATGAGGCACAGTATCGAACGCCTTGGCAAGGTCCAGAAATACAGTTAAACATTTTTTTTTTGAGTTCAGATTATCCATGACTTCAGTTAGCAATTTGTGCATGGCGTCCTCGGTACTACACCCATTCAGAAATCCGAATTGGTTTGTCGACAGCACGTTATTGTTTTTAAAAAAGCTAATTATTCTGGTTTTTATACATTTCTCAAAAAGTTTTGCAAAATTACTAATAAGGCTGATAGGTCGGTAATTATTTATGGAGGTCTTAGTTCCTGTTTTGTGAATTGGCGTAACTATTGAAATTTTAAATTCAGAGGGTATATTTCCTGTTTCTAAGATTAAATTTAATATATGTAATAGGGGGTTGATAATTTCTAAATGTGTGTGCTTTATAATATCGGCTCGTATCCCATCGTAGCCTGGTGAACTATTATTTTTTAAGGTTGAGATATAATTGATTAATTCATTTTTTGTTATGGGATTAAAGTAAATAGAATTTGGCACTGAGGGATCTACTTGTTGCTCAAATTGTGGTGGTGGAATGGCTTTTTCCATTTCTACCCCAATATTAATATAATAGTCATTACAAAAGTTTGAAGCTTCGAGTGAACTAGTGAAATTTTGGCCCTCCTTATTTTTTATATTTAGAAAAGTATTGTGGTTTTTCTTATCTTCGTAAGTAGCATCTTTAATTATCTTGTAAAGTTTTTTCATGTCATTCTTATTACTTTCAATTTGCCTTTTATAATAATTATTCTTTTGTTTATGTATAAGTTTGTTTAAATTGTTTCTGTATTCCTTGTATTCTTTTTCCAATTGGGGATTAAAATTTTTTAACAATTTTTTCTTCATTTTATCTCTAGTTTTAATTGATGTGATAATGCCGTTACTAATCCAGTCCTTAATTTTTTTGAGCTTTTTGTGTTTTACAGTGTAGGTTTGAGTGGCGCTTGACAACAATTGTTGATAAGTTTCCAAGAAAATTGTTGTTGCTGTTTCAGGATTATATTTATTAATTACATTTGACCAATCATAATTTTGTAATGGAAGTTTAAATTTGGTGATATCCAAATTAGCTTTAGTGTTATTTTGGGGATGTATTAAATTTTCTTGCGGTTTTTCTTTTTGGCTGACGAAAAACATTATTGGGCTGTGATCGGTTATATCTTCTTGCAATATAAAGGAATCGAAGTATAAATTATTAGATTTTAATTTTTGATTAACGAACAAATGGTCCAGACAAGTTTTCGAAATAGGTCTCGTTATTGAGTTGATGTATGACCGAAAACCCAGCGAGCTCATCATAGCAAGATAATTTGTAACCAAGTTGTCGTTTTTCTCCAAAATATTTATATTGATATCTCCCACAAAAATTTGAATATTGGCAAAAGTCATTGGTTCTAGGTATGTATATATGTCATTTATAAAATCAGTTTTTGGAATGGGTGGTGGCTTATATGTTGCTGTTAGACCAAATGTTGTGCCATTCATTTCAAAATTCATTCTACTGATGGTTGCTTTTGAGTTTGTCAATTGAATAAAGGAGAAATTAACATTTAGATTTTTTTTAACTAGTATTACAACACCATCGTTTTTATTATAATTAGCCTCATTATAGTAGACCTTATAGTCTGGAATGTTACAGTTATCTATTGAGTCAATCTGAAAGGTTTCAGTAAGCACAATAATATCCATATAATGCAATTTATATGTTTCTAAAAAAGTAACTAAACTATCAATATTTTTGTTTAAGCTTCTGATATTGAAATGGATTAAGCTTAATAAAGATTTTTTAGTTTTAAAAATGTCTAACCTCTTTTGGTCCATCATTTCACCTTGATTCCCATTTTCTTCATTTATTTCCTCCAATATATCATCTTGAGCGTTAAATACCATTTACTTGCGAGTTATAATCTGTCTTGTCTCTTAAAAGTCCTATATGATACTTTAGAGATGGACATTCTGGGTCGAGTGATGTGTGATCTATGTTGAGTTG